TCATTTACTGCGACTTTGCCGAAGATTGTGATCTTTGACACGCAGATTCTTTGCGTCGAGCGTCGCAGATGATCCGAACGTGATCCATCCGAGAAACACGTTTCCCCCTTTTGCTCTTTGGAAAAGAGATTCTCCTATTTTTTTATCAACGCTATCGCGGAAGCCGTGACCGAGTTTCTTCACCACGCGACTTTTCTTGCAATTCGATAAGCGCAACTGTGATGCCAGAACAAACGATATGACCTTGTCCTTTTGTTCGACTGCTTCAGGGTTCATTGGTGTTGCCGATAACGTTTAATGGGAGGGCTCGCGTTAGGCGAACTTTATGTCGCTTTTAATTCAACTTTCCCCATTCTTTTCATGACTTTTTATTTGACCTTTCCCATCTTTTCCATGATTTATTCATACTGCTATGTCATTACATCCTCGTTGCTATTTTCCGTATTAGAAAATATGTTGCAAGTTGATAATCGAACTATTTTTGTTTTTAATTCGTTAACTTAAACATTTATTTGTTTTCTTCATATTTATAATTAACGAGATCACGCGAAAGTATTGTGGAAAAAAATTCAGTCTACAGTCTATAAAGGAAATGTTTGAGAGTTCTCCTCGCGTTAAAGAGACACATCGACGGCGCGTTTAAACACTAAGTCCGATGGAAAGAAAAGGGCTAGAAGGGGAAGTCTCTGAAAATATCTCTTTGTTCGAGACATTCCTCGATATATTTTATCCGCCTTAAATGGCGGCGTAAGCAAGCAGTGACGTGGTGCGCGGTGCAACCGGTTCTCCAAAGCAAAAGGGATCCGCGAACAATGCGGGAGAAATCTTGCGTGCTCGATGACCAAACACGGCCTAAGTCCAACCGGCACCCTCCGCGGGTCGCTTGCGTGTCTCCCTTCGTGGACGACGGACGCACGTGCGTGTTCGCGCGTTTACAAGCCGCTCTATATGGCCTCGACGAAACATAACTGGTAAAGAACGCGTAATACGCTATAAAAGATACCTTATGACTCTGAAGTATTGAGAACAATTTAATTTCAAGAGATACACGGAAAATTAAAATGACTTAACTACAGCGATAAGAGGAATGTATTGATTTAGTGTCCACTAAAGAAGTAGTTATCCTAGAAGATCTTATACATACTATTGACAAAATTTAATTAAAGAGATAATCGTAGAAATAATAATAAAATTTATATTCAGATTTTTTTGAAATTTTGATATTTATTTTTATATCATAGTTTTAAAAACTAATTTAGGAATAATAATACATAATTATTTTTTATATTTATATTTTTATTACTCTCTCTCTACTTCTTCATTTAAAAACTGCTGTGATATCTTTATAAAAAATTATTCTATCGTTAAATATACATATTTGTATTTATATATCTATATAAAATTTTACAGTTAAAAATATGTTTAAGTTTTCTAATATTAAATGTTTAATTAATTCTTAAATGAAGGAAGTTTCTTGATAGTATTTGAAATACAATTTTCTTCTCGATATTTATTTTATATGATTTTTTTAATTGGGCAATTTGTTTCGAAAGATGTTTTAATTTTATTAAGTAGCAGGATGATTATGGAGTCTTCCTTCGGTAATACTATCTTGCCTGGCCCTTTTAGTTATCATTGGTGGTCTTTCTATAACATGATATTATAACAAACATGAGGTGATGAGCGAAGGCAAGAATACTCTCTTCAGAAATGTTTTTAAATGAAATATTTGTGCAGTGAAATGTTTCTTTCACAAACCGAGCGAAACGATAATAGATAGGATCTTTACTAATAATGTGAAAGTAAAAAATAGAATTAATTGTATAGCATTAGTTAACTTTAATTTGAATTAATTTAAATTTAAATTTAATTTTTATTTTATGTTGGTAGTAACAGTAACTCTTGTCACTAAAATAATTCAAATTACAGTTTAACACAATTCTTTAATTTTTAATTTTAGTAAAAATTTATACGCTTTTAAAACAATATGTCATAAAATATATATCACCTATAGACTATTATATTTCTACAAGCTTTGTATATTTTATAGATTTTTCATGCTTGAGAAATTGGCTCTAAAAGGTGTCGTTTCAGTGAGATTGTAAATTTTCATATCATGAATATTTTATGAGACATTTTTACGAGACAATTTCTTAGTTCACATATTTCACATATTTTCTTGGCCTATTTTTTATTGTCAAGATGTAAATATAATTTTCATAGTATGTCTATATATGCGTGTGGTTTATGAGATAAATACAATTGAAACGTCTGAAAGCAGGTAGATTAAATGGGGAAGGAAGATCGAACATCAATCGTCCTAATGACATCCCGTGATTTTAAAGGCTCTTTTATCGAGAAAGTCGGAAAACGTCGCATTTAGGTATCGCTGATACTTGAAAGGTTTTAAAGATGCACGAAGACAAGCGAAATTATCCGCGTAAAAATAATTCTAACCATATTAATTAATAAATTATTATGATTTACCAAGCTAAATTGTTTCACGCTTTTCTCATTTTCGTAATGTCGAACGTTTTTTCACTAAGAATAGCTTTTTATCGTTTTTTCTTATTTTTTTCTTCTCTTCGCCGAAAGTCGGAACAGCGCGAACGCGAGCTTTTTTATTTCCTGGCACGAATCGGAATTCGTTCTCGTGGCGGGCGATGGTGGCGGCGGTCGGGAACAAGACGCTTCCTTCGTCTGGAACGACACTCGAGGAACCCCTAAAGATAGCGACACCCCGCCACGTGTCGACTAGCAGACTTCCGACCGTTTCGTCATCTCAACGAACGCTTTCCGCGAAATTTGCAGCGATTTTAATGCGTCAATATTAATGTCGAAATTACGTCCACGTTTCTTTTCGCACTTCAAGCATATTAAATTAAGAAAATGAGATTGATGATTATGTTATTGCAATTCGTATGTTATTAAATTCCATTGAATGAATGGGCTCTGTATAAAAAGAAATATATACCTGGTCAAATGTACAATAATTGTAAACAGAATGCATTGCTAAAAAATAAATAGAGATTTCTTCAAAATAAGGTTGTTTAAAAATAAGTTCTTAAAAATATAAAATTTGCCTAAATGTAATTTGAACAATCAACAATTATTATTATTACTCTTGAGATTAATTGTATAGATATATAGAAAATAGAGATTTTTAATAATTTTTTGTTTTGAATTATTCAAATCTTTCTTTTTATTGACACACACAAGTTTATTTGTAAACATCATTAAAATAAAAAAATTGTTTTAAAATATTATTATTAAAATTATTTTTTTTAAAATTATTTTATATTATTTAGACTTAATTTGTTGGATATTATTTACATATACTATTTATATATATATATTATTTATATATATCTAAACTAAAAATTTATAGTTTAATTATACGTTATATAGAAAAATTCCTCTAACAAAAAGTACTTAAGTCCTTAAATATTAACGTATTTCTTTTAAATACAATATCAATGGTGATATAATTTAATAGCAAGCTGAGCTTGTTTCTAATTAATTTCTCGGGCTACACAAATACCTATTCTCCTATACAAGTTTGCATATGCATGTTTAGCTGGTACGTTTATGTACAATATATTACATTTACATTTTGCGTAATATGATATATGGTAAACCTCTGTAAATCCTATATAGTCTTTTCCGATCTTGCGACCTATAATTTACGTTTACGACCGTGCAACGTAACAATCTAAAAAGAATATTTAACGCGAAATAACTGACCGTGACTCAGCATGCGAATGAACGTTTATGTCTTGCAAATTTCCATAGATCTTTCACCTCTTTCTTGGCCTTTACATTCTCTTTTGAAAATTATCCGCAATTTTTATACTTGACAAAACTATACTTTAACATTAAGAGGCCAGTATTCGTCAAATCTTTATTTGCAAATAAATCCATTACTAAAAATATATAATATGTTAATGCACTTAAGGATGCATATTTTTTTAAATCTTTTAGGCAATAAAGTCATACTCTATTACGTGAAATAAAAATTTTGTGTTTATTATTCTTACCATGCAGTTTTTTTATCAGACTTTTTGGTCAACGTGTTTGTTAGACAGAAAAAGTAATAAAATAAAATTAATACACAGGTAAAATGTTAGTAAAACAAAAACTAGTTTTATGAAAAGGTCCGAAAAATATTTTTCTTTTACGATTTCAAGTATGCTGAATGTTTTTCAGCACCAGCTGGTTACCACAATTTTTTTTCGATATATGATACACAGATAAATCGATATAGTTAAGCGTAAATAAGCACTTCGTATTTGCACGCACACATATATCCGGTATACGCAAACGTATATTCCGATGATGGAATTACATAGTGCACGTTTTATCCTCGTTACGGTAACGATCTCGTGTCACAAAATAATTTCCACTTTGATTCGTTCGCGTTTTCGCGCTCGTTAGCAGCGTGTAAAGAGAAAAGAAAAGATTTAACCATGATTTCTATCAACATGCGACTCAATAAATCGTCGTAACTAGTGAACGAATCAATTAAGAAAAAGAAAGAGAAAGAGTTATCATTTCGTAATATCGGCTCCGCATGCACGATCTGATAATACATACTGAACTATTTCTCATTTGGTCGGTTGGCAAGTAATCACGGTAATGTGCATAAATTAACAGCCTGGCGTACGAGAACGTAGAGTAGTTGTAAATTTGCGAATACGTTATAGTGTTCAATTCAATGTGTTAAATTCAATGTGGAGTATATTAGATTTCAAGCTTTGAATTACGATCAAATCGTAAACATAGATTTTCTTAAATTTCTTTATCGATTAATAAAATTAAATTGATAACTGCAGTATCTAATAATATGTGAACCTTATCATATGCAAGATTTTGTTAAAGACAAAAAAATTGAGGGGAAGAACATTTTTTATATCTAATTTTAATTATCATTTTATGAATGATTATGTTTTATTTATTTAATATCGTTGTATTTCTTTTCTCTGTTGCAGCAAAATTATCTCATGAGATTCGGTTACTTACCTGAGACCGATTTGGAGACAGGAAACTTGCGAATGGAAGGCCAACTCAGGGATGCTATCAAAAATCTTCAGGTAAGCAAAATTATGATATAAAGAGAGATAAGATTTCATCTCATTGTAAGATACAAACGAGAAACCGTGTAGTAATTTAATACCTCTACTCTTATGTAAAAAAATACTATTGAATTAATGAAAAAACTGTGTTGGAACGCGAATAGTGGACAATATTGGATTCGAATGGTTTTTCAATTATTTTTAATCGTTTCCAATTTTTTCGTGAATCCAATAGTATTTTTCCAAACGGGCAATCTTTCAGTTTTTTATAATAAACTACTTTTTTCTATGTAGAGATATAGAAAAAGATAGTTTATTTTTAAGAATTGCGTAGAATTTTCTATAAAATTTACAGTTTTAGAATTTTAATTGAAGTGTTTTATTTAACAAATTTATTCTACAAATTTTTAAATAGAATTTAATTACGCATCAATTTCTGTAATTTGGCTTACATAAATTGTTATTCTCGTTGCAATTTACGTAATATAATATTTTGAAGTAACAATAATTATCAAATATTATTTAACTATATAGGCTTTAGGTACATCAATAGAACGGAGGTAATAAATTTCTTTATTCATGAAAACGCTATCCATCGATTCCCCGGAAGCTGTCGCGAATTGATAGGAATTCTGTCGAAAGAAATAGGAAAATAGAGCAAATGTCCCGAGGGATTTCGTCAAATGCGGCCATATATCCTCCTTATTCTCGATTCACATGTAAATCTCTATTGAGCGAACGCGCGAGAGCGGCATTCTTACTATTTTTCTCTCGCAAACGTCTGCATTCCTAATCATTGTCTGAGAGCAATAGGATTGGTTAGATTACTGGTCGAAGGGATCAAACTCAAATGTGAGATGAAACGCATCAGAATGCTTCGCATATTCTAATCTCAGATCTAAAGCTCGGGGTTCCATCTGTAGACTACGTCTCTCGATGGTTTTATCGATAATCACGTTTGTCAGATTCCAAATGCGTTTCTGGTTGAAATGTTCGAAAGCGTTTATCTCTGTTCAAAAAGATAAAAAAGGATTTACTTAAACTAGAGGAAGCGATTATGTTTTCCGAGAAAAGCGCAAATGATAAAAGAGAATATTTATCGTTTAAAAGTTTTATTGTTTAAAGGAAGATAATAATTAAAACAGTATGAGATAGATTCGTGGATTATTTAATATTTTTCAATACTTTTATTAAAAAATGATGTGTAGAGAACAAATATGAAGAAAGAAAATATTTGTATCTTTAATACAAGTATTTTATATATTTATTGTAAATTATAATGATTTTTTATAGAAAATAAAAGGAGCTTATTATGGCAAAGAATAATCGGTATTGCATAAATAATTATATTTACTATTCCCAGTATTTCTCGATTTTTAAAAATATTGATTATATAAAATAAATGGAATTTTCAATTTGTGATATATTTTTTTGTTTACATAAAATACTTTATGTCAAAATAAAATTTCAGTTTCATGATTATGCTAAATTCTGATGAATCGTGTATACTTTCAATTTTTAGAAATTTGGTGGCATTCCCGTGACGGGGGAGATTGATGAGGCAACAAAGAAGTTAATGAAGGCTAGGAGATGCGGAGTATCGGATCATCCGGATCCCAGATTTGCCAAGACAAGGCATAAGCGTTTCACCATCCATGGACAACAATGGCCGTATCGAAATCTTACCTGGAGGTAAGTATTCGCCTTACATCAATAGGATAGAGTAGTCTTAATACAATAGAATTACCGACAACAATAAATTACGGAATAAACCAAATATGTGAAATAAGATGAAATTAACAAAAACACTATCTTTTTAAAAATATATATTAAAATATAATAAATTAAATATATTATATTAATATATTAATATATATTAAATGCATTTTGAAAAAATACATTTTTATACCTACGATAGATATAAAACGTAGATTTGATGCTTTTGCAAAAAATGTATATATTGGATAATATTAGGATAATGTTAATAATATTGTGTGTTATAAAGAATAACCAGTTTATCGTTTGCAACATTAATTTGGAAGTTCTTTATTGTATCTATATTATTTTTATACTGAGTATTAAAGATTTCTTATTGCTTTTAAGAGCATACAAAAATTTTTGTAATTACTAAATAATGTAATAATAATTATTATACGTATAATCATATTTTTACGATTAATTTATGACATTTTTCAAAATTTTGATCTCTATTATAAAATTATTATAATATCTCAATTTTAATTCGAAAAAATCGAAAACAAAGCAGTTTACTTTCGGTTTTGAAAATCGTTACTCAAGAATCCGTATCATTTCATTGACGTCATTTCATTGACGAGGACGCGTTCGTGGATGAGTTGCAAGTCATGCGTGTTCGAGATGAGGCACGGCCGGCGCGCGTTTTTCATGGCGACGAAAACTGGCGGACAGATTTATTCGCGGCTCGTCGAGGAGAACGATAATAATATCCCTCGCGTTTCTCGACGCGACGATAATTCATCTGTGGGGTACCTGTTGGTCCGAGTCGCTCTAAACAGGATGTCTGGCCCCTTAATTGCGAGCTTCCTTGTGTCGAGACCTCGCCCCGCATTAACGCACTAACCCGACTCGGAAATGCCATTGACATTGTTGATACTCGGCCAACAGGCGAACCTTCTGAGACGCCTTACAAATTATAGAGCGGCGAAAATGCTGCAAGAGCATTTTCTTGAGAAGATTAGAAACGCTTTAACATGCCAAAACGGTATTTGCACGCTTTTCTTGACACGCAAGTCTCTGTTATTGAAACATGCTGTGAGAGACTTCGAAAGTATATACCTTTTATTTCCATCACATATATATAACACTTTCTCTGTTAAATTTTATAAGTTTAAGCAAAACGTTTCCTTGTATATTCTATACGCAAAAAATATAAATGTTAATTTCTTTCGGTAAATATATATAGTAGTATCATTAATGTTTCAGCTATGAGATTTCCGAGAAATGGATATATATAAAAATAAGACATAACATTTTCTATTTAATCTTTACATTATATACATAATTGTATACTTAATTAAAAATTTGAAAAGAAACCAAACGTATACGTATCTGATTATTTAATGATCAGAACGTATATTTACGTTTAGTGATTTAAATTTATTAATAAGTACAGTTTTAATTATCTTCTTAATTATTTATGATTGAGCTTAAAGAGTCAATTTTAATATTTGCGAATATTGAATGTGAACGATAAAACAGATCTCTGTTGACTTGAATCATGCCGGTATCACAGAAAACTAACGGATTTGCGTTGATACGAAGAATAGCTGCAATATCGGCTTTACTTTGATGCATCATGTGGCACCCTCTAGCAATCAACTGATAGACATGACTTTATTGATTTATAATTAAACCGCGTTAATTAAACAAAGTATTAAATTATGAAACAATTCGCATTTATATTTATTTGTCGGAATAATTGGTATTTATTGTGTTATGATTGCGACATTTTATTTTATTGTTACACTATCTCGTACAAAATTATAATTTTTTTTATATTTATAGATATAAAACGTAATTTGTTTAGAGCTAATGTTGTTGCTTTTATTTATTTTCGATAATTATACGTTTTGAAATATTATAGAAGTTAGAATGATATGGACAAGTTGAAATAATGTAGAAAAAATTTATTTTAACAGCGCGATTTTAATTTATGATACATGCATTTCACAAATTGCACATTTACGTCAATATATTTTTACTCTTTTATCGTGTTTACATATTAATTCGCAAACTTGCGTAATTTTTAATAACTATAGTACATATTATAGTCCTGAAACTTTAAATTTGTTAGACTATACTTAGCAGAAAAAAAAGAAACAACAAACAAACAAAATATGTTAAAGTCGAAAAAATTGCTTGTTTTTCTTACGATTCGTAATCTGTTATCGCTTTTGTTACTTTCGTTAATTAACTGTGCATTGTCTAAAGTGCACTTACTTACTCTCAAGCTGCACTCTTCGCGACTATCGTCGCTATCTTGTACGATATTTAGCATGGTCCCTAATATTCATGTATGCTAATTAGCTCGAATTCTACGGTGAGCCCGTTAATTAGCCACCTTAACGAACCGGATCTTCCGGCAGCAACGAGAAGGACCACGAAAAATATCTCTGTAATTTTTACTCTCATTGAAAAATTCTACAGCAACCAAACCCAAATTAAAGTGCGTACCGACATAGATTGGACAGATCGAGCAATTAACTTCGTTATCCGGTTATCATGCTACAATTCCTCCACGAATTCAGTGAATCCATGTGAAAAGGCCAAAGCCGAACAACCAGCCCTTTGTGTACAATTTCGATAGGAGCAAATTTGACAGATTTTCGCGCTCGCCGAAAACGAGGGTTCGTTTGCCTTCCTAACTAGGCTCTATTTGTTCCTTCCGGTGCGTTTGGTATCAAAGGAGAATATGAGTTTTTTTATGGGGAAAATCTTGCGAGACTGCATTAAAAGTGCCATTTTTTTTAAAATTTATTTTTATTTTTATTTTTATATTTCGTACTTTTATTTTATTTTTAAGTGCATTTCTTTATATATAAAAGTTTTATTTCGTACATTTAATAATCCACGTTGTGGTTTGTCTAAAAATTTTATCCTCAGTCGTATGAATCTTCGTAATAAAAAAATATACTTGTATTTTGTTACTTCTTAAACATAATTATTTTTATGATTAGCAGAAATTATATTCATTTTTCATTTGCAATTAAGTACGATTTTAATTGCGAAACTGCGGAAAAGAATTAGAGTAGAGACAAGCTCTGCGTCTTAATGGCAAATGTGTAGGGTAAGAAATTAACGGCGACAGCACTTCCGCTAATTTTCTCCACGACCTTCCGAGCGAGTAGCTCGTCGAAATTAATGACGTCTTTAGAGTTCCGAACGTGAATTTTATATGCTTTCATCCCCATAAATTTCATTTTCCTTTTCTGAATTTTATTTAAGTAAACGACTTGAAATAAAGTTATAATTCAGAACATATCTTTAATATTTACATAGATTACCGAATATAATGTAAAAAAATATGTTTAGCCTTAATAATATTTTTATAATGCAAAACATTTTTTTCTTACTTTATTATGAAATATTTTATTATGTCACATTAAAAAAAATTTATGTTTTGAAATATTGAAAGTTTATAAATATTATATTACTTAAAAAATAGTAACTGTTAGTGTATGACGAATATTTTGTATACCGGGCTCTCATAACATGAGACTGTTGCAATATGAGAATTTGTATGTGATTTAAAATTCTGGACAAAAGAAGATGTAGTATTGGCTTAAGAACTGTCACTGTTTACGGGATAGAATGTTTCCACAGAGTACGTGGAATACGTGAGCCGCGAAAGGATAGTAGGATTCGTCTTACGCGACGGTTTGCACAGTCAACTGGACTTTGAGGAGATAAAGATAAATTCCTAAAGCTGAAAGTCGGAAGTTGATCCATTGTGTTTGTCTTTGCGATATATCAGGGAAAAGTCACTCTATAAAATCGGGGATATTTTCACCATGGTATCAAACTGTTTTGCTCGATTGCACTGGAATAAGAATCTCGTGTAAAAGAATAAAAAAGAATAAGAACACTATTGATTTTACCTGTGAAATATATCCATAATATAACAGGTAGAAAAATTACTGTTTTCATCGGTTATATTATTGATATGTTACGAAGGAAAATTACCTTATTAATTATATTAAATTAATTTTTCTTAAATATACGAATATTTCTTAAAATATACGAATTTTAATTAGGAATACAAATTTACGTACGAAGAAATCATTATTTATCGATAGAATATAAAACCTAGTTGTTTATTCTTTTTGAGAATTATATAATATTTCGAATATTAAAAACTTGACCTTACTTTTTGCTGTGTTAAAAAATGAGCTTCTACAGCTTCTGCTCTTTATACAATAAGCATCAAAAAATTAGCGCGACTCCATTATCATTGCTATGCCGCAAAAAGTGTCAAGCCTTAAATAAATATTTTCCTAATGATAATCGTAAAACAAAAAGTTTACGAATTATTTAATCAGAAATATCCGTGAATTTTTCATATAAAAATCGACCAAATAATAACGACGTAAAAAGTATTGACCTATACGGTGTTATATGTTCTCCAAGTGACAAAAGAAGTTAGCTTTTTCGTGAAAAGGTCAAAGATTGATCTGGGACATTTTTATCTCCGTTTCTTTATTTATTTCTATTTTTCTTTTTATTTCGCTCTCCTTTTCTGCATTTAACTTTATTCAATATCGAATGCCAAACTTTAAAGTCGAATGCATAAAAGAAGGCGACCCGACGACTGGAGAGTATGGAAAATTTTGCAGCCAGGCGCTGGAAGCAAAATTAACCAAGTTAATAGAAATCTCGGCCCTTCTTGGAGAGCTTTTTCACAAATTTTTCGTAACGTGCAATTTTGTGTAATGGAATATTTAACGTCACGGAGAGTGAACGGACGTCTGTTGAAAAATTTATAGATTCTCTTTTTTTTGTGAACTATAATATTATAAAAATATTTAAATTATATTAGATTAATTTAAAAAGATTTTAACGAAATTATTGGCTCATTGCCCTTATCTCTTTATATTAGTTGTTTAATACATATTGAGCCTTATCACAAACATTTTAAATTATATTAATACCAATGAAATT